AGAAGCAGGTTGTCTGCTGAGGAGAGAGCCCGATGTGGGACTCGATCCCAGGACCCTTGGATCATGACCTGAGCCAAAGGCAGACGCCTAATGACTGAGCCATCCAGGTGCCCCTGAATTATGTTTTCTTAGCATTATCTTTTGGTTTAGTATTTACTTGCTTTTAAACTTGAGAATGGTAACCAGAGGGATTAGGCTTCTTTTTTAAAGGACTGGTTTAGCAATATTTAAATGACATCTCTTTCAAAAGAGTCCAAAACCTATTTTAATTTGCTAGCAGGTTAAAGTTTAAATTGCAAAAAGACTAACTGGCAGTTTTATATTCTCAGACAAAAAATGTAGAACTCTTGATAATTGCACTTAGTGCTTAAAAATGACACACAATGGCAAATCAACTATTGAAAAATTGCTTTTGGCAAGCACCCCATTCTGGAAGAGCACAGCTGGTGACTTAGAGAGCATTGCCATGCCTCCAACTCATGATGGGTCTCAATTCCTTGAGCAGAAACCCTAGAAATTCTTACAGGTTATACATTTAAATATCTAAATTTTATCTTATTTTAACCTAAGGGACAAAATTATATATAAATTCCACAGTGCTATGTGTGAATTGATACTTATATTTTGCTACCAAAAAATTATCATAATCCCATCTTGAATTTATCAATTCCATGCACTTACTGAAACATAAAAAGGTTAATTTTAATAGAGGTACAACCTTATAATGTAATCTTTGTCTAAGGTGAGAAGATTTAGGGGTCCTACTTTGGGTTAATGTGAATCTTGGTAGGTATTCCTGGAAATATTGTAGGAAAGATCAGGTCTACAGAAGATCAAATTATACTTTCTGAGGTGTTGAGATATTTTCAAAATGAACAGATGATATGGTAGTTCAATACATAAATCAAACAAGCTCGTTAATTCCCTACCGTCTGGAAACTGAATCTTTTTTCCTAGAGCACAGAAATGTGTCTGGGCAGAGGGAAAACAGTTACATGCTCAACACAAATCCATACTGCTCAGGACTTCCGAGGGTGGACTTGGCCTCTATGTGAAAGGTAATACCATGTTCCTATTTTAGGTGCTTGGGATTCATCAGTGAACAAAATAAAGATTGGATATGAGATATGAGATTACCAAGGGAGTAGGTAGAGAAGAAAACAGAACCAAAGACTAACTCATAGAATATTCCACATGTAAGAAGTGGAGGAAAAAAACAACAAGGGAGAGTGAAAATAGAGCCCCAGGTACATAGGAGTAAAAAAAAAAAAAAAAAAAAAGTATGGTGTCCCAGAACTTAGATCCAGGGGGTGAGGGATTGTGAAAAGATGGAACAATCAATGAACTAGAGATCCCAGTGGATTTGAAGAATTGTTTACATTCAGGATTCTAGAAGGAGTGAAATAGAAAAATAGGTCATAGGGTGAAAGGCATGTAATTGAGATCATGGGGTGGGGGTGGTAATTAGCATTTGGATATGAGTAAGAAAGAGTGACAGAGATGGGGAGAATAAGATCAGTGGAGGAACTGAGTTCAAGGAATTGAGAAGCTAGGGTGATGGGCATATCATACATTTATATACTGAAATCATCAAGAATTGACACAGGAGTACTGTTAGAGGGACAATGAGCCAAGAGTTCAGACTTTTGAAAAACCAGGAGGGACCTGGATGGATGTAAACAGAGACAAACAAACAAACAAAAAACACAGCAACACTGAGGGGTAACAATGATATAATCCATTGGCATTATATATAAGAAATTATTTTTCTTTCTTGACATGGTTTATTTTAATAAAAAATACAGCTGAACATTTATCACAGATTAAATGAAACTATACACAATGACATTCTCTCTGCATAGTAACCAACACTGATGTGTATACTCGAATTTTTAAATGGATTACTGATAATCCTTTAAAGTGCAATTTATTTAAGGGTTTAAGCAAATCATAGGATAAAGGATCTAATAAATGAGTAACATTAAAAAGATATATTTGGATAAATCTTTCAAAAATCAGAATTTATTTCTATGGATGCCAGAATTGATTTCTATGGATGGTTTTAGGGAGAAGAGAAAGAGAACTTGAAATTAGCAATGAGGACCAAGGGAACCTTCTACCTTGCCTCCAGGTCAAATGCTACTTGAGAACTGGGAGAAAAAACAGCCATTTGGAGAGTGCTGCGGGAGAAGTAGGGTCCGTAGAAGGAAATTATGCTTACATTAGCTGTGGATATGAAGGGAAAGTTCAGAGAGGAAGTTGAGAAAGTACCCTGCTGATATTTGAAGGTTGGGGAAGGGTGGATGAAAGGGACCAAACAAGGATAGGAGTGAGTCATTGAGAGATGGGGTTTCTGGTATTCACTAATGTGAAATTGTAGAAAATACATATATGGGTCTCTGCCCCCAATTCCTGGCACAGAGCTCCTAAAAGCCTTGTACTTTCCTAAATAACAAGAGTACTAGGAGCACCTTTCATTCTAATATTTGGGTTTTGACCCTAGTTCCTGACCTAGAACTCAAATCTCAGAATTTCCTGGGTGATAGGAGTGTCCTTTGTTCTAATGAGGTAACTCTGGGTGGGCTCCTGATAGCTATAGGAAGGGCGGTGGTCAGCAGAAAGATCAAGCCATGATTAGAAGCTTGGAAATTTCAGCACCTTCCTCCCTATGCTCCAGGAAGGAGAGAGGGGCTGGATATTGAGTTAATAATCAATTACGTCTATGTGATGAAGCTTCCATAAAAATTCCAAAAGTATGAGATTAGAAGAGCTTCCAAATTGGTGAACACATCTATATAGTGGAAAGATAGCACGCCCCAACCCCACAACAGAAGCTCCTGTGCTCTGGATCCTTCCAGACCTTGCTTTATGTACCTCTACATCTAGCTGTTCATCTGTATCCTTTATGATATCTTATATAATAAACTGGTAAATGTAAGTAACTGTTTCCCTGAGTTCAGGAAAATGATAGAATCCGAGGAGGGAGATCATGGGAACCTCCAATTTGTAGCCAAGTTAGACAGAAGTTTGAGTAGCCTGGAGACCTTTGATTGACATCTGACGTAGTGGCAGGGGGAATCTTTTGGAGCCCTTAGTCCATGGGGTCTGTGCTAACTCCTGGTACTGTTAGAACTGAAGTGTAGGACACCCAGGTGGTGTTATAGAATGTTGCTTAGAAAAAAATCATTGATGTGGGAAAAAAATCCTCCCATCTGATGTCTGAACTGTTGTATGGTAGTAGTGTGAGAACCCATGAGAAACACACAGGAGTGTTTTTATCATTCAAAGACAAACTGAGATAAATAGAAATAAAGGGCAGAATGAAATTAGTCCTGGTGAATTCAAATCAGGTAAGTGGACATGATGGGAGGTGTGTGAGAGGGTGGGATGGGTATATGGGTCTCCCTCTTATGCCCTATAGATGGAGGAAAGGAGATATGAGAAAGCAGGGTATTAGCAGCCTGTGAAACCCACTTATCTCTCTTACAATGGAGGTACAATGCCTAGGGTTTGGTCCCAGTGTTTGGGTCTAGTCTTGACCCTATCGAGAGGAAAGCTGACTCCAAGAGTCAGGCTCAGCCTTGATACCTGGTCAAGAAGTTAAGACTTCCAGAAAAGCCAGAAGTAATCTTTGACCACCAGATTCTATGTCTAAAAATTAGAGTAATAAAATATATCCCTACAGAACTTAGCCCAGCGTGGTATAACAATGGGGGTCCCAACAATTGTCAGTTATACAGACATTCTACCCTTTTTTGGCACAGAGGTGCAGTCTGTTTTCCTCTAGTCCTGAATGAACTAGTTTGAAAGATAGTTAATTTTATCATAGACCATTAAGAAGCAAACTATTAACAAGATATAAGGAATTTAGTACAACGTTCCTGGTAAAATAAAATTACACTCTATGTAAACCAATGAAGCCAAGTTGATCAGTTAGTAGGTGCAATCACTTTCACTACAGTGGGTCCCCAGTAGTTTCAGTAGTCACCTATCCATCCCCCATCCATCTATCCATTCATCCAATTTTACTGAGCGTCTATGCTCTAGACACTGTGGAGAGCATTGGTAAGGAAACTAGTTATGAGCTCCATCCTCATGATGTTTACAGTCTAGTGAGGAGGAGAATCATTGATTAAGGTATTGAATATATGATGAATGCCATGAGGTCAGAGTTTTCCAGAAGAACCTAACAAGGGGACCTAATTTTTACCATTTGCCAAAGGATTATCTGAAGCCAATTTTTCAGATCCCGAAGGATTGATATCCTGTAAGCTCATTTCTAGAATGAGTCCATTATGAAAAATATGAGGGCCATAGCAGAAAGTGGTATAGCTACAGCACCAGGGAAACCTGACAGTCCCAACTTCTTAAGCAAGCTTCTCACCACTCACTGATTTAGGGTATGGTGTCCTCTGTATCTCCTTTCCAGAAGCTACATTGAGGTTCACCATAAAGTAGAGTCTCAGTATCATCTAGGAAGACTGAATTGTGCCACAGCTTTTGCAGCAATGGGATTGTATTTTCTCCAAGTCGAAGCTTAGAAAGAACCGCATATATAGCTGCTCTTCCAGAAGCTGAAGTGTGCAGCTTAGAGCATGCCCTTGCTCTCCCCACCTATTAGATAGGTTTCTGCACATTCACAGGGAGCAACAGTGAGGCATAACCTCTAAGCTTGGCTCCAGTTGTATGATGCTTTGCTGAGACACAATTTCCTTCTACCTAGTGAGGTCAGTAGCCGTTTGACATTCAGATGAATAAAGTCCACTTTAGATATGCACAGAGAGAGTGTAACTTGCTCTTTGTTCACTTCATCTTGTTAGCTACTTGATGGTTCATTCTAAGCTTTTTCTCATGATTCTTGATAGAATCATCCCAAATCATCCATTGGCTATTAAACCATACTCATTTTGCCCTGCTTTATTCAATGTATCATTCTATGCTGCTACACCAAAACCACATTATAATATGGTATGTCCATGTTATTTAAAATATATACTTACTGCTACTTGGTGGCAAAAATAATCCATTGATATTGCGAGGTTTGCTGTGATAAAAGATACAACTGATCTTCACACAACCAAGAGGTTGAGTTTCCCAGAAGCATGAAATGCTGCAGTTTTGCTAGACAAAGGAGGTGGGGGAAATGAAATGATCAGATACCATGTTCAAAATAAATACAATGTGCTACAGCACAATGCAATGTGACAAAACTATCCCAATTACTGATTTAGGATCATGTGTGTCTCCTGAGTTTCAGTATTTCTAAACTCTGCTATTTAAAAGATACAGTAGATATTTCTAAAACATATGCCACCAATTTTTATAAGAATTTAAGTTGAACAGCATGCAAAATGCATAAAATTAAGTAGTGGAAGAAAGAATCATTTTTTTCTCTATTGTGTTGTAAGAGTACATAGTTCTAGAGGGGAGGGGGGTGGGGGAATGGGTTAGCCTGGTGATCGGTATTAAGGAGGGCACGTACTGCATGGAGCACTGGGTGTTATATGCAAACAATGAATCATGGAACACTACATCAAAAACTAATGATGTAATGTATGGTGATTAACATAACATAAGAAAAAAAAAGAAAAAAAAAGAGTACATAGTTCAGTCTTATTGAAGGGAGACGCTTTTCTTTTTTTTTAACATGATGATGGTGAGTAATTCTACCTGCATTTCCATGTGTCTAAATCTGCAAAGTGGATCTAAACATTTTCCCTCTCTCCATAATGAGCACACAGTGTCACTGCCAAGGGCCTCTTCACAGTGTCGGAATCGGCACTGGGAACCCTGCAAGTAAAAAGTAAACAGTATGGAAAATTCAACGTACTAGCGTTAGTGTTCAACAACAGTAAGTTGCTAATTAATTAAGGAAAATATGACTAGATCAAATTAGAATCACAAAAAATACTACAAAATAAGGTTATGAGTCTAAATTTTAGCAAGTTTGTTTCATTTTAGTGAGAGACTGACAATATAATCTAGTACAGCATGCCACAAATCACTGATAAAATGCTACTTCTTGTTATCAGTTAATCCATATGATTCACTAAGAATAAACATATGATACCACCAATATTCTTGATCGCAATCTGATGATGGAACAATTTAATTTAGCTTTCTGGAAAAAGATAGTTTTTTGTTTTGTTTTGTTTTATTTAAGAATCACAAGCTATATTCAAATGGTGGAGATGATCTCTATTAATCAATCTTTATTAGATAATGTTTTCTTAGTCTGTTGGAGATACTGTTAAGTGTGTTTTTACAGGGAAAGTGAATGGAGCTTAAACTTTATATTATTGTGGAATTTTAAGTAATTAGCACATTACGCTACATTAAATGTACATCCTTTATACCCTTGGTCTACAAGATAAACAACTGTGCCAATACACATATACATATACCAACAAAAGCAGATGTGGATTATTTTAATGGACTGCTAGTACTTTTTTTAATTCTATGTCTTTTACACAGAGGCCCCCACTTGGAAAAACTGCAGGCCGTTGTCTTTCTGACAAGAGAGGTGTGTGACATTCAATAAAAATATTCCATGAAGTTCTGTCTTTTGACACATGTTCCATGTTTTTTTCTTATTTTTTCTCACTTTCTTACTCCTGTCTTCACAATGTCCCCCTTTTAAAAGTGGATCTGTGGATCTTGTAGTACAAGATAGTGGACAGGGCTAGATAAACCAGTATTTGAACTCCTGGTTCCATTATTTGTCTATAGTTACAAAGTTAATACATTTCCTCACCCTGTCTGTGCTTCAGTGTCCTCATCTGTAAAAAGGGAATAAAATGCCCCCCTCCACAGATTGTAAAAATTATATGAGGAAGGTATCGTGGTTGCAATTACTATTGTTATGTATTCATTTAATTATTTATTGAGAATTTACCACCCATTGGTCACGGTGCTAGGTACTTGGGGATACAGCAGTGAAACAGACAAAACTCTCTGCACACACAGAATATAAATTCTATTATTATGTATCATCTTTAGGTTTAATCATAAAGGGACAGGCAAATAAGTGAGTACTGGGTGTTATAGGAAACTGATAAATTATTGAACACTACATCTGAAACTAATGATGTACTATAAGTTAGCTAACTGAATTAAAAAAAAAAGTGGATCAAATTCTTATGGTCAAAGAGGTTGACTCAATTCAGGCTTCCTAGCAGAGATAAAACACTTTAAATCAAACACATGGTGTCTTTCATTCAGGTATGAACATGAAACTCCAAATTTCTACATTTATTTGGTTTCATTGAGATCCATTAATCCTAATCTCTTTAATATCTTTATTATTTATTTAATATACTTATATCTTTATTTAATATCTTTTAGTCTTATAAACTTGAATTCATATTTGGCTAATTTGTTTATAGTACTTCTTTTCCCTTTCCCATGTTATCAAATATTCGCTGTTAGACTTTTGGCAGGAAAATTCAGTAACTGGGTTAATGAATTTCAAATAGGGAATCAATTAGATTTATTAAACTAAGTTTGATAGTGAGCTGAATTTAACTGTTTGAATTAACACGTTTGGAATCACATTAACTGTAACAATATGATGTATCAGATTACGTTTCAACATGTTTGAAACTATATCATAATTTTAATTTCCTCAGAGAAATTCAGTATGTCAAAAATACATGATAAGCTTTTACTTCAGATTTTAAATATGTAAAGTATTTTTCGGGAAAATAGTAAATTTTGACTCAGCAATACAAATTATTGCCACATCTTCCTTCATTCTACTAAAAAGCTTAAGCATGTGAAGTACCGTAAATTGTACAATATTTACCTTTATGCATGTGGAATTAAAAAAGAAATAGCAGTCATTCCCAACTTCTGCCATTTTCAACTCTCTTGCTGCTAATCCAATGTTTTTTTAATATAAGAATTGCAGGAGTGCAAATATAAGAACTATCAGTGTGTAAGGGGGAAAGAGAATTTCTTTTCCACAGTCTTTCAGGCTATCAGTAATATTCCTTTAAAACTGACCTCCTGTTGACAGTATATTACACAATAGATAATTCTTAAAGAAATTTAAATTAGAAGATACCTTCTCTAGCTTTGCAGAAATGTTCAAAGTGGTTGCTAGTAAGCACACAAACTCAAACTTCCAGAATTTTCCTCATTGTTACCTAATCATTGTTTGCTCATCATAAATGACCTCACACGTAACTGTAGGCTAGCCTACCTTCGTGAATTCTGTATAGTATTTCTCTTCCTCAATTCTAGTATATTAACCAAATAGGCTAGTAAAAATAAAACGTTTTATCTTTAATGTTCTGATTGACTTTGGGACATAAGCTAGTTCATAATTTCATAATGAGAAAGTATTATGTATTTCACAAGTAAAAAGCTGTTTTCTAAACTGTCATTTCTATATATGGTTTGGAAACAAAACTAAAAATTTTTAATAGGTAAATATACTATCTATACTCCAAGATAATATAATTACGTAAATATATACTCACTACTATCCATTGAATTGGGAAAAAAAATCAGATTGTGTTATCTTAATAGGTACCTGAAAATAATTGGACTATTTATTCATCTTGTAGCTATATTCCATTCATTTTTCATCCATCATAAAAGGAGGAATAGCTTCTTCCTATAGCAGGTCCAGAGTGTCTATAAATTTTGAGAATTTGTTGAAGACAAAGTGAAGTACTCTGATTCCCAGAATGAGACATTTCAATCAGCAGTTACTGAGGTCTTTCTTCATAAAGGCATAGGAATTCTCACTTTAGTTAAGTAAAACAGGCTAATTGGTATGAACTTTCTGAATACTTTAAGGTAAAAATCTAAGAAATAAAATAAGGAATTAAAATTTAGAAAAGAGTTGTTTGTCTATAACTGTAAATAAGAGAAAAAATAGAAATAGGCAGTATTAAAAGTAAGTGAAGAAGTAGAGAATAAAAATTTGGCTAAACCTTGAAAATATTAGCAAAGATGTATACATACATATATATATATAAACTTAACATCTTGCCTTCTGTTTTGCTGTAACTGCTAACTCTAGAACAATAAAGTACTCATTTTAAGCACATAAGTTACTGAGAAAAACCTCTAAGAAATATCTTTAAGTGGTCTTTGCCTCCAGATAAACTCCCTCTCTGCCTATGAGCTTTTGGCTGCATGGATTATTTCCAAATAGTGTTACCAAACACCATTATTGCATGATTACATGTAACATCATGATTAAAGCCATTGTGAGAATCCCTGTTTTACATCGGGGAAAGGATGAAAAAATGTTTTTACCTTTTGGAGTATGTTGGGAACAATTACATTCCATTAGACACAGCAAAAACAGGTCAAACCAAAATGGGGATTTTTTTTTTTTTTCTTTTTGTCTTTGCAAAGACCAGTAAATAGATTTGTACATTTTGGTAGTCTTTAGAATGCCTGGAGCCTCAATTTCTTCTTTCTCTCTCATTTTTTAAAACAAAGCTCTATTTTCATTTCTTTTTCTTTCCTCCACCCCCCTCCCCCTTTCTTATTCACATCTTTCCTGTTGTGAAATTCATTCTGGTCTTTCAGAAAAAGCTGTGACCATATGCATGAGGATTTTCACTCCGTATAAGGAAGAGCGATGGGAAATTTGCCTCCACAGCTGGGAGTAGGCCTGAGAATTCTGTAAGTATTTTGGGTTGGCCAATGCAGACTCACACTGAGTGTCTTCCATCTTTGATGCATGCTAGAATACTAACACATCAGTCAGAGAAGAAAGTATTTCTTCCAATTTGTAATCCAATTATACCACTTTAAGTACAGGGGCCAGTAGTAATTCCTTGCTGGCTCTTCAGGTTTATGAGTATCTGGCAAAGCTGCTGGCTGCTATCCATTAGAATAGGAGCCCTGTTTGTAACTGTGAATTAGACCTGTGGCTCTCCCCTGACTTGGATTCCTTTGTTTCAGCCAAAGGCTTTGCTCCAGGCATTAAGGAAATCAAAGCACTGGAAATTGAGTGCTTCCTGCGGAATGGTTAGCCTTGCTACTACTATTCAAACAGCAAGTAGAATGTTTTAGAAGATGATCCCTTCTCAGAAGTGACAGAATGTTGGACCTAGAAGATTCTGTGGCAGTTTGGGAAATGGCAGTTGATAGTTGTGAGGGTTATTTGTTGTTCCCTTGAGACCCATGAAACACGCTGCTTGTTGGGATTCCTCTGGAGGAACAGGAAATCACTGGTGCTTGACTATAAAATACTAAGTGTCTGGTCCCCATAGCTCACAGCTAGCATCAGGTGTACCATTCCCCCTGTCCCTCTTAAAAAAAAAAAAGTGTTTTTTTTGCCTTTTTGTGTTTTCCTAGGAGAAGAAGATAGCAGAATAGAAAGTAAATGAAATGGCAAATCTCTTCTTTCTCCTCTCTGAATCCAGCAATCAAAAAACAGTGCATTTTTAAAAGGATATTTATTCTTTGGAAACCCTCTTATGTATAAATACCTTTTCTAAGGGATAAGTCAGGAAAACACTGGACTCTACGGTACCTGCAGGTAACACAGTTATAGAAATGAGACCTGGACCTTGTCTAAGCACATAAAAATGGCAGTATCATAACTCCCCTGCTGAAGACTACTAGCCTCAATAAGATAGGAAGGCTACTATTACTAAATATTTAATATTTTATTCAATCATTGACCATCTTATCACTTACCCTCCAATATTCTTTTAAGCAACAAGTCAAATAAAGCTGTTGATTGACTAGCTCTGCAGTTGATTGACTCCCAACAACTCAAGCCATTTGGACTCTGTTGGAACTCATATTTAAGATAAATGAGATTCCTATGAAAAAAAATTAAGATTGAAATCCGGTTTTGGATTAGTCTAAGGCTAAATTTTGCACGCAGGAAAACATCAGAACCAATTTTGACCATATTATGAGGCACAATGAGGTGTAATCCAAACGGTATTACTATTGTCTGTGTTGGGGGGTCCCAGGTGTTTTAATTGTAGCTTTTTCTAGCACTCTTCCTGGGAAATCCGTTTCCATTGGGCTTTGAGAGGTCTCCGAATATTTCTAAACTTTTACAGGAATTTATTAAAGAGGACAGGCAATTAACTTTCACCAGAGTGGTGTTAAATCAGCATCTGAAACTTGTAACTTGGTATTCTTTAATTTTCATAAGTACCATCGGTTACTAAGTGTGGTTAAGCACACACAACTCATCGGGGCGCCTTGGTGGCTCAGTTGGTTAAGCGACTGCCTTCGGCTCAGGTCATGATCCTGGAGTCTCAGGATCGAGTCCCGCATCGGACTCCCCGCTCAGCGGGGAGTCTGCTTCTCTCTCTGAACTTCCCCCCATCTCATGCTCACTCTCACTCTCTCTCATTCTCTCTCTCAAATAAATAAATAAAATCTTAAAAAAAAAAAAAAAAAAACCAAAACGGATCTCTTGTTTCACGGTCATCACAATCCGGACTAACGCTCGCGGGAGGGCAAACGGCGGGCGGGCGGGGCTGGGGGCGGGGTGTACCTCGGCTCCCACACTACAACTCCCAGAAGGCGCCGCGGTCAGGAGGCGGCTTCTGCGCGTGCGTCCCGCCCCACGCGTTGGGGGACGTGGGGGCGCTGCCGCTTCGCCTGAGCGGGAAGTGTTCGTGATTGCTGGGGACGCTTTCCTGGCCGGGGCTCTGTTTGGAGGCGTGCTCTGCGTTCGCACTGCCTGTTGGGCCCATCATGAGGCGCTTAGGTTCGGTGCAGCGGAAAATGCCGTGTGTTTTTGTGACGGAGGTGAAAGAGGAGCCCTCCACCAAAAGGGAGCATCAGGTACCGAGGAGTGCGGCGTCGGGGGAGCGGCCACGCAGGGCTTCGGGGCTCGTTAGAGCCGCCCTGCAGGCCGGGAGCTTTTTGCGGGTTTCGTTGGGGAGGTCTAGGATAGGGGGCTCTTGCTCCCTGAGCTCCAGGTTCTTGTACCTCCTTAGTTGCAAGGGAGGGAATCCTCGAGGGAATTTTTCTGATAAGGCGATTCGAACTTGCTGTCGCATGGAAATTGAAAACCTACATCTTAATAGCCCCTTTTTCTACCGCCTTTTTTTGGGGAAGAGCCCTTAAGTATTCACATAATCACCGCAATCCAAACTTTACTGCTTTTCAAGAGTGTGGTGACAAAGTGGAGATTTTAGAAAACTTGCTTTAACAGTTCTAAGCGGGGAGCCGATGGTGTTGACAACTAGCCTAATTAGGTCACTAAAGATCAGACCTCATGTATTGTTAGCGGTAGTTACCTACTTGATTCTAATTTTGGTGTTCCCGCCTCTGGTCTTTCTCCCAGCACCGGGTTTTAGGCATAGAGGGACTTTGGTAAACACTGGTGAATGATTAGTCACCTATATCAGGGTAATTCTTTCATGTATAGCAAAGGCCTTGATAACAGAATCCCCAGGTATTCAATGCTTCCAATTCATCGTACAAAATTCTTCATGTGTATTTGGCATAGGCCCCCACCCGCCTTACATCATTTGCATTGGCGGTCTCCTTGGTTTCTAGACTAAAAGACCTTTAAGGTGGAGACTGCCCTGTTACATCGAGTCCCAGTTTCTAGGACCTGAAGTGTAGTAGCACTGGATAAATATTTGTTGAATTAAAGAATGAACGCTGGAGTACTTTCATGCCAATTTTCCATTCACCTTGACCCTTTTTAAAAAATTTATGCTTATTTATTTATTTTTAAGATTTACTTATTTTAGAGAGAGAGAGAGCACATGCAGGGGAAGGGGCAGAGGGAGAGAATCTTCAAGCAGACTCCTCACTGAGCCGGAGCGATGAGATCATGACCTAAGCCAAAACCAAGGTCACTCAGCGGACTGAGTCACCCAGGCGCCCCTCATATTGACACTTTTTACTTGTAACATAACATTTCTAGTGCCACCGCTGTTATAGTTCTTAAGAGTTTATGTGCTGCTTACTGCACTGCCTGATTGTTCTTTCCTGCCACCCAGAATGATCATCATCATGTTCTTTCTGGGTCAAAACCCCACAGTTAACTACTAACTGTCTGTAGCAGTAGTTGCCACGCTTTTATTTTTTATAGCCATAACAAAACCTAATATGAAATATTGACATCCCAAATAGTGGTTCACTTTAGCTGTGATTCTCAACTTTGTATGTCGGTGGGAGTGGGTGGTTGGTAAAAGTACCCTCCACCAGGAAAAATAAGCCCCTGCCCAGGTCCCTCTGCAGTTGAGATTTGCTTACAGTATTATTTATAGCATAGTATTCAAATCCTTAACTATAAGTCAAGGCTTCCCATTAACCAGGCCCAGTCTACTCTTGAAGTGCCTGTTGGACCCACCATGAGGGGCCTGGGCCCATTGCAGCGGAAAATGCCATGTGTGTTTGTGACGGAGTTGCCTACTTAAAGTGAAGTCTCTTTTTGAACAAAGTCTTTCATCCTGTGAACCTAGCAGGCATAGTCCTGTCTTTATTTTTGCTTGGACTGTGCAACTCTGCCTGGATTACTTCCACAATTTTTGATTTTTTCAAATCAGACCTTCTCCATGAAATTTTTGAGCATCTTAGTTATCCCATGATCTCCTCTGTCGGGAAATTGGAGGACCGCTCAGTTGATATTCACTGTTATTTTTTAACACAAATGTCTTCTTTTTCCAAGTAGTTTAAAGTCTTTTATGAGAAGAACTTTGTGTACCCTTGGTATCTTACATTGTCTTTTGAACATGTTGATAGCAAAGAGTGGTAGAAAGTTGATTCTTAAAGAAGGAATATTTGGAGCTCATCTAGAGCTCCATGGGGGCGAGGGGTCGCCTGGTGGCTCAGTCATTAAGCGTCTGCCTTCCGCTCAGGTCATGATCCCGGGGTCCCGAGAACGAGCCCTCTATCCCTGTATCGGGCTCCCTGCTTGGTGAGGAGTCTGCTTCTCCCTGTGCCCCTCACCCCGCCCTCTCGCTCCCTCTCCCTCTCTCAAATAAATAAACAAAAAAAAAAAAAAAAAAAAAAGCTCCATGGGCAGAGTAATCTCCTCCCTAGGATTTTTGGTAAATTTGAATCCACACCAACATTGCTATTAGGCCAGGCCTTATCACCACAGGTTAAACTGATATCCTCTGATACTAACTGCAGAAGTTAGTGGTAAATCCCCAGTCATTTTATCTTGAAAGTACCCAATCAGTAACAGAATGCTGCTAATTTCCTAAGTCTACCTGACTCAGAAAACTCAGAAACAGTACTTTCATTTTAGTTTTAAGCCTGTACACACCAGTATTGTGCAGTGTTTTTCACATTATTTAAGATGAGTGTTACTTCAGATAATTCACACTATAAAATGGTGGCATAAGTCTTTCTCAGAAATAAAAATAAATTACAGATAAAAAATTGTAGGAATTGTAGAAACTCTTTTCTCCCGTTCTTGATGGTCTTGGGTTCTCTTCCTGACAGTAGAAGAACCATAAATAGAACCATAAATTATGCAGTTTACTACTGCTAAATTTGAAAGACTCCCCATTTGTTTTTCTCCGTAACATTTATTAAACTTAACATTGTATGTATGTATTATTTTGTTACTATTGTTTTGCTCATTAAAATGAAAATTCCACCAAAGACAGGTACTTTTTTCTTAATCTCTAACTTCCTGTTGTCAAGGACAAGGATTAACCCATAGAAAGCATTTAGCAAGTAATTGTCAAGTAAATGATTGAACACACTGCTGCGGAGACAGTGCTGCCAAGGAGTGGTTCCTGATGTCAGCTCCTGGTGGCTAAAGAGACGTACGAATTAAAAATAAGTGTGGGAAAACAGGTATTGCTGTGATAGCATAGAAGGGAGGGGGTAACTCATGAGAACTTGCTGGAAGAAATATTTTTTAATTGTCTTGAAGGGTAAGCAGGAGATTGTACTTTAGAAATAGTGAAATTAAGAACATTCCAGGTGAGAGTATGTGTGAAGGCGTAGACGCTGTTTATTTTAAACCAATTTTCTTTCTCTCTTTTTTAAGCCATTTAAAGTTTTGGCAACTGAAACTCTAAGTCACAAGGCATTAGATGCAGACATATACAGTGCACTTCCAACAGAAAAAGTGGATGGAACATGTTGCTATATTACTACCTACAAAGGTAAAATTACACTACATATTATTTGATCACTTTACAAACTATATATATCTGAAGTAGGGCATTTACCCTTCATAAACCCTTGGCAACCTAAGTATAAGAGCAAAATGATAAAGTCCCAGTTGTTATACTTACTTATTATTATCATTGTATCTTTCTCGGGGGAGGAAAGGAAGGTAATTAACATTTCCTTAATACTCATTCAAGGCAGGCCGTATGGTAAATGCTTATCATGTTATCTCTCATTTGCACAGTAAGCCTCTCCATTTCACACATAAGGAAACTGAGCCTCAGAGAACTTAAATAATTTGTCCAAGACCATATAATTAATGAATGGCTGAACTGGTAATAGAACCTATGTTTGATCCTAAAACTTGCTCTTATTTCACCGATTCCAGTGCTGACTCCATATTTTTTATTACTGTTGTCAGTATCTCTAATTTATTTCAATTTAATGCACTTTAAGAGTTAGAAACTAAAATAGAAATTGTTAGTTAAGGAAAAAAAATGTATTGAAAAGAGAGATAATCTTTGATTTCGTTTTACCTCTTAATTTCAGCAAGAGAAACAGAACAGTTGAATAAATGCAAATTAGACATATTCCTAGTATCAGGAAATCTTTTCTGAAATGCATTTTTTTTCATTTTGAATTGTGATTAACATACACTTAACATAATTTACCATCTTAACCATTTTTAAGTTCATCGTTGTGCTCCTATCACCATCATCTATCTCCAGAACTCTTCATCTTGCGAAATTAAAACTCAGTACCCATTAAATAATTCACCATTCCCCCTCCTCAGCCCTTGACAACCATATTCTACTTTGTCTCTATGGTTTTGGCTATTCTAGATACCTCATATATGTGGAGTCACACGGTATTTTCTTTTTATGACAAGCTTATTTCATGTAGCATAGTGTCCTCAGTGTTCATCTGTGTTGTAGTACCTGCAAAATTCCCTCCCCTTTTTTTTTTTTAAAGATTTTATTTATTTATTTGACAGAGACACAGCGAGAGAGGGAACACAAGCAGGGGGAGTGGGAGAGGGAGAGGGAGAAGCAGGCTTCCCGCCGAACGGGGAGCCTGATGCGGGGCTTGATCCCAGGACCCTGGGACCATGACCTGAGCCAAAGGCAGATTCTTAACGACTCAGCCACCCAGGCACCCCAAATTCCCTTCCTTTTTATGAGTAACATTTCATTGTGTGTATGTTTGTTGTACAAATCACATTAATTTTATGTCTATACCACGTTTTATGTACATACCATTCATCCATCAGTGTACAGTTGGACTTCTTCCACCTTTTGGCTGTTGTAAACAATGCTGCTATGAGCACGGTGAACAAATAACCTCGTGGAGGTCCTGCTTTCAGTTCTTTTGGGCATATATCCAGAAATGGAGTTGTTGGGTCATATAGTAATTCTATTTTTAATATTTTGGGGAACTGCCATACTATTTTCCACAGCAACTACACGATTTACCAACAGTGCACGAGTGTTCCAGTTTCTCTACATCCTCACCAACACTTGTTTGTTTGTTTGATAGTAGCCATTTTAATGGGTATGAGTGAAATGAATTTTTGTACTTAACTAGTAAAAAGAACAAAAGGTCCATTTAACCAGAAATGACAATATAATTTTAATCTTGTTCTTCATATTATTTATTGGGATAGTTAATAAGTAATACAGAATGTCTAACCAAACTATAATCAGTAATTTTAAAATCTCATATATTTGAAGAAACTAAAAGATTTTTCAGGCTTTTATATTTATATTAAGAAACTTAAATGTGCATCATTATGTGTGATCATGTATAATAGTGGCAGATAAACATGATTGGATTGCTAAAGAAAACTTACAGGATCCAAAATGACGGTGCTTGCAAATCCACAGTTTATTATAGGTAAAGGATACACAGTATTAGCAAGGGCATTGAACGTAAGGATGTACACAGCCGCAAAGGGTCCGTGAGTCCAGGTAAAAGCACCTGTTGTTACCCCCTCATACCCCTCAGCCCCCAGGGTCCTGGCAGGACACACTTTGTCAAATCAGGAACCACTGATGTATGCAGGGAACACCTTGGAAACAGAATCCAAAACGGAGTGTCAGCTGGGGATTTTTATATTCTGCTGGTCATGGAGACATCTTCCTGCTAAGTAACCAGCCTCAACAGCAGAGCCCTCCAGGAGTCTCACTGACACCAGGTATAAGATTCATTAGTCTTACTGTTATCAGTAAAGAATGCAGGCACACTGCGCTGAAACCTCGCAGATCCATGATTACAGATCATCACTAATAACTTGACCAGGGATCAGAGCCATGCAAAACAGCTCAGCCTAATTCCACATTTTTGGGAACTAACCCTTACAATTATGTTTCAGGAAAAGTGTGACTACAGTTATGTGGATATGTTTTCATTTAGTATAGAGGTAGCTTCAGTTTCTCACAAGTGCTCGTTGTCAATAAAATATGGCTGCAGAATGTCCTTATGAAAGGGTCACATATTTACTTTTTATCTCATCCTCATCATTCTTTAACCAGACTTAAGTTTTCTTACAGCATCAGGTTCTGCTGGGTAAGATGTGTTTGTTAGAATGCGTCTTCTAGGGTTGCTGCTTTTAGGAAAGATGACCCTATTATTTATTGAAAAAACTTTTATACTAAATTGTCTTTCAAGATAAGTTTTATTGTTCGGTTCTTAAACTTTTCTTTTCCCTTTTATTATTTTTTTTAGGTCAGCCATACCTTTGGGCTCGGCTAGATAGAAAGCCTAACAAACTAGCTGAGAAAAAATTTAAAAATTATCTACAATCAAAACAAAACTCAAAAGGTTAGTGGGCCTTTTTGTTTTTTTTTAGCTTTTTATGATTTAAATAACCTGCAATTTTTGGCTTATTTCTTGCTGTGGTGGTATTTTTATACATTATATCCTTACAATTTAAGTACTTAGGGAAAAGAAGAAAATTATAATTGAGTATCTTTGTATGTAAAAGAATATTCTTGAAAAGTATTTTAAATCATTTTCTTAACATTTTTATAACTCATTAGACTATGTTGATTTTATTAAAACATACAAATTACTACATGTATACTGTAATGAGCAACACATTTTCGTTTTGTTGCCTGAGACAAATCTGTAATTTTATAAATCAGGCACAAAAATAACAAAAAGGATTGTCAGTACGTTTAAACATTAAAATGCCTCTAAATATTATATAAGCAGATATATACATTAATCATTGTATATCCACTCTTTCATTTATATATTTATAGTGCATTAAAAATTCATCGTAAATCTACACATACCTGGCACATTGGCTCCTTTAGACTTTTATCCACTATTTATAGAGTGGTGGGTTCAAAATTGAAAAAATTTTTTAAAAAGATTTTATTTGACAGCAAGTGAGCACAAGCAGGGGGAGCGGCAGGCAGAGGGAGAGGGAGAAGCAGGTTTCCCGCCAAGCAGAGCACCCGATGTGGGGCTCAATCACAGGACCCTCGGATCATGACCTGAGCTGAAAGGCAAACACTTAAAAACGGCTGAGCCACCCAGGTGCCCCCAAAATTGAAAATTTGAAGTGCTAGTACCCTGAGAAGTGCAGTCACATCATGGTAATGGAGAATAATTGTATAATACCTAATATCATGGGGTTTATTAGCTGTTCCCATATTGAATTTGTTCTTCTTTTATATTTTTTAAAGTATCACCACATATAAAATTATTTAACTCTTTTAGAATTTTTTTGGAATGTTGAGGAGGACTTCAAACCTGTTCCAGAGTGCTGGATACCAGCGAAGGAAATAGAACAATTAAATGGGAATCCGATGCCTGATGAAAATGGACACATTCCTGGTATCATGAAAACTTTTCTAAAATGCATAAGGAGTTTTTCTGGGAATGGGAAAATTTTTGCAAAAGTGTGCTGAGTAGAATGATATCCCAGATTATGGTTCAGTTCAGCAGGCGTGTCTTGAATACCCTAATGTGCAGAGTACTCTTAGGTTCTAGTAACACAAAAATGAAGATTAGAACCTTATCCTCCATGATCTTTTAGACACTAGGGGAAATCCACCAATATTGTTATGATTTAAGAACTAAAAGGAAGGTATACAAAGGGTATAGTTAGAGAAAAGAGGAAGAATTCTCGTGAGCCTGTGATAGTTAGAGGAGGCTTCTAAGCGGAGAGGACATCTGTACTGAAGCTTAAGAACCAGGAAGTTAGCTGGCAAGGACGAGGGAAGGTCAGCTTAGGCAAACTCCCATGAAGAGGAGCGATACAGAGTCATGGGAATTTTATGTGACACTTCTCTGTGGCTGGAATGTTTAGGGTGTATGACATTGGAGGACATTATAAAAGTTAAGGCTGGAGATGTAGAATGGGCTCAGATCTTAAAGGGGTTTATATTCCATTTAGAGGATTCTGAAGTTCATCATAAAGATTTTTAAGCAGGGGTACAGCAGAACTAAATTTAAATTTTTGAAGCAAGATTATGATAAAAGTGGGGTGGGTTTTCCTGGAGACTAATGGACCAGAAAAGAGGTTTCTACAGTTAACCTGAATATTGAAGGTCAAAGATATTATGGTCACAGTGGCATATGTGTCCTAGTTTTTGTTTGTTTGATAAAGAATTGTCCACATGCGGGAACCTATTCTGGTAACAAGTTAGAGGAATAGCAATAACCTTCAATACATGTGGAATCAATACATTGTTTAGCAAATATTGCAATAGTACAATAAATTGTAGAAAACTTACTGTATAGGTCTATTGTCCCTGAAACTGGAGAGACAGTAGAGAGAAAACTTAAAGAAATGAAAAAAGTGTTTTAATGCTGTTTTAGAATGGTATTCAATTCATACTGAAAATTTTCTAGAAAGGAATGCTGAGTGCTCTATAGTGAATCATCAAGCAGGTTAATTCATCAACAGAATAAAAAACCTTAGGATTAAAAGAATGATTAGGATTAAAAAAGTAGTAAAACTGCTAACACTTCCACTGATTTAAAAAAAAGTGTATCTATGGGTGATAAACATCCAGAAAACATGGAAAATTTGTAACAAATATAAAAATTGCTTCAAGTCTCAATCCAAAGAAAAGCGGTGTCATGACAGTTTTTCCTTTACATGATAGGTTGGGTACCAGTGGAGAAACACAACAAACAGTACTGTTGGCATTCCTCTGTAGTTAATTATGAATTCGAAGTTGCCCTGATACTGCAGCATCATCCTGATGATCCTGGGCTTCTGGAAATTAGTGCAGTGCCGCTCTCAGATCTCCTAGAGCAAACACTAGAACTTATAGGAACAAATATTAATGGAAACCCGTATGGTGAGTAAAGTCTTTTTCCTGTTTACAGTAACTGTATTTATAAAGAGAACTTCCTACGTTCAACTTAAAACACATACACTAAAGAAATGACTAATTTGAGCTAAATAGCTTCCTAGAATTATAGCCATTTCTATTTATGTCCACGGAGAAATTTATGCATGACTCTAACCATTTTATTAATCCAAAAAGTTGATTTTAGCCTTTCATTCTTCTGTGTAATAACATTGTAGAACTAGGTATGAAAGGGAATTACTCAAGGGTAACTTTTTGTTGCTTTTTAAAATTTAGGTGAAATGAGTTGAATGAAAATCCTGTGTTTTTCATGGTTAGGTAATTAGTTTAGCATTAATTAACAGCTAAGAGTAAATTAAGTAAAGAATTGACCATGAATCGAGTACCAAAATCTGTACTACGGTGAACTGAGTACAGGTCCAGAGGGCACTGTGGAGAACATTGTTGACAGGGGAATGGAGACAGACACAAGAACATTAAAGCTGGAATAGCAAAATCCTATATAGGGATCAGAAGCAGACCGATTGGCAGGTGGAAAGAAGTTAAGAGTAATTACACAAGTTATCAGAGATAGAGTGGCTGTTTGGCAAACATTGAATGATAGTTGAACTTGGCTAGTAGTATAGAGCAGGGGTTGGAGGACTTTCTCTGTACAAGTCCAGATAGTAAGTATTTAGGTTTTATAGGCCATAAACAGTACTTAAAAGAATGGATATAGCTGCATTGAAACTACAAAAACAAGCATCTTGTTGGATTTAGCCCATGGGTCATAGTTTGCTGACCCTTGGTATAGATTATATGAAGGTGAAATTTATATTTAATAGGGTAAGGTGGCAGTTTTGAATGAGATCACTTATGGTATATCTCTCCTAGGAAACCAACTAAACTTTTTGGTAAATTTATTGCTGAATGTTTTAAAAGGCCTTTTTATTTGGAGAAGTAAATTTTCTCAATTCTTTTTGAAACCTTTGTATGGCTAATGGAAATTTTTAACATTTAGGGCTAGGAAGCAAGAAGCATCCATTACATCTTCTTATACCACATGGGGCATTTCAAATCAGAAATCTACCTACCTTGAAGCACAATGATCTGTTATCCTGGTTTGAAGGTTGCAGAGAGGGTAAAATTGAAGGAATAGTATGGCATTGTAACGATGGCTGTTTAATCAAGGTAATGACAGAAAGTAGCTTGTGGGATGTTGTCTTACTTCCTGAAACGAGGTAGAAGTGGCACTAGAATATTCTCTACAGATTGCAGTAATTCTGTGTTGTAAATAAATTTAATTTCCTCATCTCACAGGCCACCATTCTTTATATAATAGTGTTTCCCAATGTGTATTCATTCTCTGGGGCATTGGTTTTCCTAGATGTGCTTCAGAATTAAAGTGATGAAAATGTCTGGAAAAACTCTGCACATTACGTACTGCCTTCTTGGAAATTGGTGTTGCAAATGAATGCCCTCTGAGATAATCCGTACCAACTTAGGTTAACTCAGCATTTCCCAAACTTGTTTGATTATAGAATTTGAGTTAAAAGTGCCAAGGTAACAGTTAATATTTACAGAATGAACTTTTCTACTTTATGGCCTTTCTGTCTCTTGGACTTGTCTGTTTGATTTCTCAAAGTTTCTGAAATTAGTAATGTTCAGAACTGGACCTAGTCATATCCACCCGACTCCCAACAATTCAAAAACTGAAATATTTTTAACCCCTCTCTCCATTACTTCACAAAGATTCTGATCTCTTGAATCTACTTCTCCCCAGCCAGTTGGCAGTTAATTTTCATTTTAATTGAAGCCAAGATTCATGCTTGACCTAGTTTATCACCCTCTTAAAGGTTATCTTCCAGTCTTATCCCTGTTCTGTCCATTTTTCACCGTAAGTGAAAATGTTAACTTTGCTGCATAAAACTGCTTAGTGACATTAAGATTATTCATGATCTGACCCTTGCTTCACTTTCCGGAACTGCGGTACACCCCCGTCTGCCAAATATACCCAAACGGTGTATGTTCTAACCGTGCTCATGTAATTGCAATCAGAGCAAAAAGCACCGTTCTGTCGCGTGATACTTAGAATGCCTCCCCACCCATATTTTTTAATTGGCTAGCTTCTGTACTCAGCAACAGACTGTTCTCATTAAATTTTTATGGAGCCCCCTGAATATGTTCCTGGCATGTTTCCAGGTGCTGGAAATACAGAATCAACAAAACAATGTTTCTGCCTTCATGAAGCTCACATTCTAATGGGGAAGATAGACAATAACAAGTAAATATGTAATATGTCAGGAGGAGAACAGGTATGAAAAAAAAGGGTAAGATAAAGTGGAGCCTTAAGTAGTGCTTGGCAGATGGTAGGCATTCAAAATAAATACTTAAAAAGTGAATGAAGATAAAAAAGTCTAAAGCTAATAACTTTTTCTCTTTTCAGGTTCATCGCCATCATCTTGGTTTATGCTGGCCAATTCCAGATACTTACATGAATTCAAAACCAGTTATCATCAACATGAACCTGAACAAGTATGACCATGCCTTTGATACTAAGTGTTTGTTTAGTCTCTTTTCAAAAATAGATAATCAGAAATTTGGTAGACTCAAAGATATAATACTTGATGTATAAACTAGAAATGCAATTTAGAACCAGCTTTACTGTTATCTTTGAATCTGGAATATTCTACCACATGTTGAAGGTAAAAAAAATCTCAAGGTTCCATGTCTAATAGAGCAATATGTCTTCTGGCATTTGAAGACATGAATTTCCCAGTTGCAAAGGTCTATTCAAAATTTTATTTAGAACCAGCAAATGAATTTCAACCACTAGACTTAAAAATGTAATAATAAGCTCCCTACCTTGTACAAAAGTTGGATAAAGACAGCAGTTAAACCAACAGTTCTGGATCATTAACTTTAAAAATTAAATAGTTCAAGATGAATTTATTCTAAACACTTAATAAAACATATGGCTGTAACCTCATAACATGTCTATATACATGTACATATATATAAAACTTGAGTCTTAATACACATATAAATAAGTATATATAAAACCCCAGTTTTAAATGTTAAGTTATTAAAGCTCACTCTGTACTCTTTAAAAAACTTAAACATTATGTATACAAAATTCATCATAGTTTATTTGATAGTCATAACTTACTCTGAAAGTCAAAAATATACTTTTATGTTTAAAATTTCATATAATTTTATTTACTAAAACTTCAATTTAGTAAAGGTACAGGGTATGAAGAAGGAAATCACGTAGGTCTGAGACCTGCTTGATTTACAGATGGAGTTTTAACTTATAAAGTTAATAGTTAAGTAAAACTACAGGTAGAGGTGTCTTTAATAAATGGGGAGATCAGCAGGACTTTCCTCTTCATCTTCAAACTGTTCAGAAGCAGCAACAGGACTACTTAATTCAACTCCATATTGTTCAGAAAGTTTTTTTAACTTTTCTTCTAAGAGAATATTCTTTTTCACTTCTTCTTTATAATTATACTTCAGATCTTCAATTTCCTCAAAAAATGAAGGATCAAAGTTTTCCAGTTCTTTTTGCAGCTTTTTTATTTCCTCCTAATAGAAACATGATATCTTTGAAAGGTATGTAGGAATACAATATATTCTTTAGATTTGAACTAAAAAGACTTAATTACAAACATAAAATCTAAAGTAACCTGAATAATCTAATATACTTATATACTATAGAGGCAGAAGTATTTTCTTAGAATTTTGTTAATAAGGTTTCATTGTACAGCGTAAGTAACTTGTTAGCTAATAAATTATTTGTTCTGTAAGTTATGTCCTAGTTTTTGACTAAAATTTATCAGTTCTTAAACGGGTAGGGGAGGGGCGGCATTTAATCTTTCTCCAAAAGTATATCAGATACTCTCATTGAGGAAATCAAAAAGACTTGGCTATTCACAAGTTATTTTGGTTAAGATTCTTTGGTTTAGGCTTCATTTATATTTTCTTTACAAATACCTATTTTTTTTAAGTGAATAATAATCAACTTCTTATAAATATATTTAGAATTAGGGAAACTCTAGGACTTCTACCTGGCTAAAGAGGCATCTGGTGAAGAGACAATTTGAACTTTAGAATAGCTAGTGATCACTAGTTAATTCTTCAACTTATGCTCTTTTCTGTTTATAGATTCTTTGAGAGATATAAAGCATGGCAAATACCTTTCTTTAATAAAGGGAGCTATTCCCAAAAAGAACTTCAAAAGGAAATAAAAGACACTATTCCCAATGTGACCCAAAACTTAATATTAAAATAATGAGCTACATTTGTTAAGAATCAAAAAATAAATTTCTCTTTTATCCTATTTGTTTTGTCTGTTTTTTTGTAGCTCTCGTTTTGTATTTTTAACACAGATGAATGTAATGAATTCTGTGATATCAAGGTCAAATGTAACTCCAGGAATTTTTAGGATACATACTTAAAACTCAAAGATGGTGTTCATAAAAGTTGTTTTTAACAGTTTTCACAAAACATTTATAATTAGATAAAATTACCTTCAAATGCTGCTTTTCTAAATCTGAGGTTTTGAGCTGTGTCTCTAAATCTTTTACCTTTTCCTTTAGTTGATCAGGATCTGCCAAAAAAGTTATAAAAATCAGATTCTGCTTTTCCCCACTCTAACAAAGGATTTGTTTCAGAGAATAAGTAGAAAACTTAAGAAACTAGAGCCTAGAATATACGGCATTTTACTGCTGAAACACCTTCCGGGCTGTGAATACTGTAATGCTATCTCTATTAGGTATTGTAGTTCCATAGCAGACCAAGAGAAAAGGCACCTGCTGGGTATTAGAAGTGTAGAATCAGGTTAATTTCTTACATGGAAGAAATTATTTTCCAGAGAAAAATTCTAAAGCCAGGAAGCATTGTTAGGTACTAAAAGGATAACAAAAGAATAAGTAGACTGTTAGGTAAGGGGCTACAGCCAGAGCTGGCCAAATGCTCCTGGTCCCCAAAAGTATTGGCTGTTCCATGTAGGTCACTACACATTTACTGTGTAATTACTACGTGAAAAACATGCCAGGCAGGGTGCATAATACAAAGACAAATAAATCCTAATACTACGGTCAGATACCATTAAGTACACAAATAGAGCACAAGGGCTTTAATTTACTGGATCCTTAACCACCCCCCTCACCTGGAGTTAACATCTCTCCAGTTTATAATGAGAATCAATGAACAAATGGGATTTTTTATTTAATTGCCATCTTTGCTAGAAACATTTTCTTCAAACACAACATATAATGTGTCCTGTCATATTTTGTAGCCATTGAAGGGTAAAATTTTAAAAGTAATGCTAAAGTTTGAGGAAATAATGGGCTGCAAGACACATTTTGATGAATGAGACAGGAAGGTTTCTGTTCTATTAAGGTTACCTTGATATGGTCCCCTAATTATAAGTTGGAGACCAGAAATATTTTCCTCGTCCTTTCCTTTGGGAATAGTCAACAGAACCCATCTTCCTTTGGAAAACAGAGCAAAATCATACTTTTCGAAACTTCCCTCACCTTTGTAGAAAGTGCTAATGATTTTTTATAAATCTGGTTCTTAATCACTGTAATGCTGTATTGAGTTGATTGTCTTAATCAAAGGGATGCTATATGTTACACAGATTTGTAATGAAATAGTGCAGTAAAAATGATTATTATGTACAGCACTTTCCGAAAGTTAGCTTAATGGTATTTGATTGCATGATCGAAGTGGCAGATTCTGTTTCAAAGAATTATACCAATTTATGCCTGAACAAACTTTGTTTGATACAGCTTTTTCAATATTCTGCCACATAGTCTTTTTCCTACTTTGTATTTAAATAGTGCTTTAGAATTGCCAAGACAGTTTTGGTTTGATTTTGAACCTTAACAGTCTTTGAAATATGGTAGGTATCCTTAATCTCCTTTAAATGATGAAGAATACAGGGTTCTGAAATTCCCTCTCAGGAAACAGAGGTTTCTTAGAAAGAAAGAACTTGCCACACGTCAACAGCATCAACAGGCCTTTGGGAGTGTGCTTGTCTGGTACCCTAAGCTGGCTGGTCTAAGAGCTACTGTTGAGAGAGATTTACATGACGGTTCTAGTCACCAAGAGGTAGCTAAGGCATTTCCGTGGTCAAAAGCAGGGACTGGTGAGGAGCTTTGGAGTTCCACAGGTTTAGGTTTCATCCTGCCTCTCACTTCCTAGCTGTTGTGACCTTGTTACTGAACCTCTTTAAGGTGAAGATCACAGGTAAAATGGAGACAGCGGTACCCACCAAACAGTGCTTTAAGAGCTAAATTATAAAATGCTGGGGTCAGGGGAGAAAAAAATTATAAAATGCTTGTAAAGCACTTAGCATAGTGCCTGGTACAACTCATACATGATGGCTTTAATACAAAGTAGCAACAAGAATATGTGGTAGGATACTGAAAAAGCTGTATGAAATAGTCAAAGATTGTTCAGGTATAAATTGATACAGTCCTTTGGAATAGAATTTGCCATTTCCATTGCACTATGAAATATACATAACAAATGATTCTTGCTGTTAACAGTGATGTTCTCAAAAGTCAACCCGAACAATGGATTCATGAATGTTGAACCATTCATTGCTCTTAGGGAAAACATCACACATACACATACTCATATCTCACATACAGTGTAGTTTTAAATCCTGGAAACAATTCATCCTGGTAGATTCTATTTTCTTTGTTTTATAAAAGAGAAAACAAAGTTCAGAAGTGTCAAGTGATTCTCCTGAGGCCCCACTCGTGTCAGAGTTGGGATTTAAACCCAGTCCAACTGGCCCCAGAAACAGCTTCTCGCCCTGTGCTGCACTCCCTTGTATGGCCTCCATCCTCTGGTCATCTGTATGAGAGAGCTGCAATAATGCAGAGCCTCACCTTGTTGGATCTCATCTGGAACATGGTGGGTCAGAACTTAAATTTTTCACTGCTGTGTGTATCTGCAAAAGCACCAGGAGTACTGGTTTTGGGGTTACAAGTAAATTTTAGTGAGTGGCTGAATTTACAAATACCCTGAAAATAATGAGGATCAACTTAATTATGTATGTATACATAATGCATATATGTACATATGCATACATATGCACCGAGCAATACAATGATTAATTACTTCTGAATGGAAGCATGTAGAGCCCTAGACTGTTTTACTTTGTAAAAGGGAAGAAGAATGTAGGCAATGTTTACTATATGTAGTTTTAAAATTAAGAGCGAGGATAGGGGCGCCTGGGTGCCTCAGTCAGTTAAGTATCTGACTTCGGCTCAGGTCATGATCCCAGGGTCCTGGGATCGAGCCCCTGCAACGGGCTCCCCGCTCAGCAGGGAGTCTTCTCTCTCTCTCTCTGTCCCTCCTCCTGCTCTCTTTCTCTCTCAAATAAATTAATAAAATCTTTAAAAAAATAACAAGAGGACAATAACATTTAGAAGATAATGTTCATGTTCAGAGGGCTTAAAAGGGTCTACTTAGAAACTGGAAACCACAGACCTAGCACATTGCTTAGCATTGTGTCATGATTAAATGTACACCCATACGGAACATAAAAAGAAAAACACCTGAGTACCTGCTGTTACAAACAACTCAAGAGGACTCAATGGTAACATGACTGTTGCATGAAGGAAAGAGCTCTGAAAACCTCCTATCAGGGATCTGATTTTATAGGGAGACAATCATCAGAAATCTGAATAAATAAAAAAGGCAAACCCTAATTCAAAAACTTGGGTTAGCTAACACACTAGAAGTAGAAAATACTTTACCAGATACAGTGCTTTGAGCTCCACTTTGGTCTTTGTTAACTTCTAACTGATGGATTAATTCTGCTTTTTCTTTTTCCAGCTGACTATTAGCTAATCTAGAACATA